CCTGGTCTGTAGCATCTCCCGGCACCCAGGCTGGCACCTCCACATAGGAGTTATGTTCTCTCAGTTTCTTGTTTGACAGAATGTCCTTTATTTTCTGCTGCCTTTTGTCTGTCATGAAGAAAAAGAAAAAAAATGCAGATGAATCAGCGGCCCACTTCCCTCTTCCTAGTTAGCAGTGGGACTCAGTTCTCCCAGCTATACAATGGAGCAGCAACAATTCCTAACACAGGTTTGTGGTGAGCCTCTGGGAGGCACATGCCTTTAATGACATGTTTCATCGGGGTAAGTTCTCATTAAAAGTGTTGCTCTCACTCCTTCAAAGGCTCTTCTCTCCAAAGGGATCTTGTTCACTGAGGGGCAAACAGAGGTCAGGCCATTGCCCAAAGCCACGTGACACACTACAGATATTAGGTGAAAACTCTCAGCCACAGAGGCTTCTCAACCTCTGACCCTGGCCTGTGTCCGTGGGTCTTACTTAAAAAATAAAATAAAATTCATTCTGTGCTCTGGCTAGACTAGACTAAACTTTCTTTCAGGTCTGTGAACACATGTTGCGACCCCCTGCCTCTGAGCCTTTGCATTCACTATTCCCTCTGTCTGCAATATCTCTCTTCCTCTCACCCCACCGCCCCAAATGCCTGGCCAACTCATGCGCATCCCTCATGCTCTTGCTTGGTCTTTGCCTCCTCCAGGAAGCCTTCCTTGATCTCCTTCCAGACCCCTCCGCAAAGGCCCTTTGCTGTAGTTGTTTCCCTCCTTCCTTCCTTCCTTCCTTCCTTCCCTTTTTTGGTAGCTGTTTTCTTGACTCACTTCCCCTGGACTGTAATCCCCGAGGGCCTTGTCCACGTAGCAGCCCCAGCGCTTAGCACATTGCTTGGCACACAGTAGGTGCTCAGAAGCTAGCCAATGCCTGAATGGTTCCATCTGGCCATAGGGGGGCACTGTGAAGGCAGAGGAAGGTGCCCACATGGAAGAACAAGGCATGGCCCACTTACACTTGATGCCCTCGAACAGCAGAGCCTCCCCATGGCCCTCCTTCAGCTGCTCTTGGAACAGTTTGTAGCAGGACCTGGGGCTGGCCAGGAGCAGCCGGAAGCCCTGGAGGCAGAAACACTGGTGTCAGAGGTCAGCCTCGCCCAGGGGCTCCCAAGGAGGAGGGCTCTGTGGAGGGTGCAGGGAGTGAGGGTGCCATGCCCCCTCCTGGTGGGGGGGGAGGGGAAGGCAGAGTGCAGAGCTGTGTTTGGGGGCTCAGGAAGGAGCATGCGGCCTCAGACTGCACCTTGTGCGCAGGGACGAAGCTCAGGAACTCGTCCACGTGGCCCACGTACAGCCAGTCGGAGTAGAGTTTCACGGGGGCCTGCACCTGCTGGGCAGCGAGGAAGTCCTGCAGGGCTTGGTGCATCTCCTGGCTCTTGGCGCTGCCCACACAGGATGAAGGGAGCATTAGGGGCAGGGGAAGGGATAGCTGGGAGGGGGAGGGGTTTGCCGGGAGGTCCCCGAGGGACTGGGGCCTTGGCAAAGGAATCAGGAAAGCGATTCAGGAGCCTGGGCTGCTTTTATTATATCCTCTAACATTTGAGGAATTGAGGAATTTTCATCCCAGTTTAATTGGGGGAAACTGAGGCAGGGAGTCAGGAAGGTAAATAGGACCAGAGCTTAGCCTCAGAAAGCACTGCCTGTTGACCCAGCCTAGATGCTGGTATGAATAGACATGATCCTCCCCACCGCCCCATGTTGGTAATCTCTTGTTAGCTGTGTGGTCTTGGGGATGTACCTGTACCTTTCTAGGTTTCAGTTTTCTCCTTGCTCTGGCCTCCAAGGTCCTTTGTGATCCAGCCCTTTGCTTTTCCTCTTGCTCAATCTGTGTTACTCACGCTGGCTTTCTTAACGACACTAAGCACATCCCTGCCACAGGGCCTTTGCACATGCTCTTTCGTCTGCCAGAGACCCTCTTCCCCAGATCTTTACACAGTCACCTCCTTCTAGTCATCAGGACTCGGTTCAATAGCCTCGCCCCAAGAGGAACTCTCCCTGGTCGCCCAACTAACACAGTCCCACCTCCTCTGCCCCTCTCTTTTTTATTCTCTTCACTGTTGGAAATCTTGTTTGTTTCCTTTTCTGTTTCTCCCCCACTGCAATGGTGGCAGGGACTTGTCTGTCATGTTCATGGCTGCATTCCTTCCCGCCTCCTAACATAGTGCTGGGCTCAGTGAATATTCACTGACCTGCAGAGTGTACATGGCAGTGCAGGAAGGTGACCTTGGGTCTGTTGGGATCCCAAGCCCGTATCCTGGCCCTGCACTGTGATTCCTTTCACATGCCCTGAAGTTTGTTGAGCCCTTTTGGTTTGGGAGCAAGTAGGAAAGGCTTCCCGTCTGGCCTCTGCTTGCTGCCCTTCCCCCCTTACCTGGGGTAACTGCTGTGCCCAATGAGAATCCTGCCCAGCGGGTACTTCTTCTTCCCAACTGTGACTGGGGGGCTCACTTCCAGGTTCCCAAAGGAGTCGAGGTCGGTAACGCCCCCTGTTTGGGGGCCTCGAGTCACGTAGCCAAAATCTGGACCCTGCGGTGGGAGAAGCGCAGGCCAAGAGTCAGAGCACTGAGCCCCTGGGTGAAGCGAGGGTGGGGTCTGAGTTTAAAGATTGGCGTGGTCACCGGGAGGACTTCGGTACCCGTCAGCAGCGGGTCCATCGCAGGCACCATTATTACTGTGGAATGTCGACGGCTCACTGGGTCCGCTGGGCAAGAAAAGGCACCGGCATTAGTTGGGTCCTGAGTGCCTGCCAGCTGCTTGGTAAGCCCAGCTTGTTAACTAGGGCGTAATATCCACCAAATATCCCTTTCTCTTCACTTTGCAGAGAAGATGCTAAGCTCAGAGTGGTGTGTGCTGCTTCAGGTCCCCTGTTCCTCCTAGTGTTCTCAGGGGATGGTGCCTGCCTCTCCCAGAGGTCAAAGCCCAAGGTCACTGTTGCCCTCTCCCTCATAGCAGTCAGGAGGGCTTCCTGGAGGAGGCGCTGAAGCAGAGACCTGGAGGTTCGGAAGCAGCCAGACACACACACTGGGGAGAGCACTGAGGCAGAGGGAATGGCATAGGCAGAGCCCACTCGAGGTGAGAACAGGTTGAAGAACAGGAAGGAAGCCAGGTGCGCAACAGGGAAAGTGACCCTCCGTGAGCTGCCTGTTGATGTGTCTCAATGCTGTTCCAAGTCTATTCCTGAGTTGGAATATCGCAGACGAGCTTGGCTAAGAGGCCGTCGCCTGTGCTGAGGGGTCTGTCTGTCTGTCTGTCTGGCAGGACTCTGGAGGCTTGGCTTGTGAAGTCACAGAATCTGACCTTTGTCACACCTGGGATATCAAAGTGCGAGAGGAGGCCACTGACCAGGGTAGGACTGAAACCAGGAACAGGGCCCGAGTCTCAGTAGCAGCTGGCTGGGCCTCACGCAGGGCACCTGGTTCCGGAGCGGAGAGGCACCGTGAACTTGACAGCATCTCCGCACCGCACTGCTCGGCGCAGGAGAGTGAGCGAGACGCGGACAGTGACTGAGTTCAAGTTAGGTTTTCTTTCAAAGCCTCCCGTGTGGACAGGGCCACCTCCCCTTCTTTGGGGTGCAGAGTGCTCCTTGGAAAGCCATTCATCATAGCAACCCTTGCACCCCACACTCTTCCTCCATTTCCCCGGGCACCTGGAGTCAGGGGCTGTGGGGGCAGAGTGCGGCCTGGGCTCCTCCCGGGAAAGCATGGAGGCGGGTGGTTAAGAGGGCGCACAGAGGCAGACTGGCCTGGTGTGAGTTCCAACGTCTCCCTTCTCTCTCTGCGTGGCCTTCAGAAAGCTGCTTTACCTCTCTGAGTCTCAGTTTTGTCACCTATAGAATGGGCCTAGGGATAGCATCTACGCGAAAGGTTGTCAGACGAATGAAACGAGTCAGTGCCTGGTCAGCAAATGTAACTGTTCTCATTCGAAGCTGAGCTTGCACAATCCCGCCAGGCTGGCTCAGCATCTGATTTAACAATATGTCACCCCCACCCCAGCCCGCAGACACATGTAAAGTCTTTGGCTAATAAAGTCACACCTGGGAAATGACCACTCGGACCTTGAACCCGCCCTCTATCCCAGTGGAGCCCCTTACAGGCCAGACCCCACCCACAAGACAGAGCCTCCAGCTGGCTGCTGGGGAAGGCCCCGGCCCCGGCCCTGCCCCGGCCCCACCCCACCTGCAGCAAGAGCATCTTCCATGGCATGAGGATGCCACGCCTGAACTCCGTCCTCAGCAGGATTATCCTGAGGACGAGGTGAGCTCATGGCTGGAATGGGCTTTGGGAAAGAAAGAGCCGGATCCCACTCAGTTATAACAAAACTAGAGGCCCGGTGCATGGATTCATGCACATTGAAAGGAAATTAATTAGAAGGTGGCTGGTGGGGCAGGACCGGGCGAGATGGGCCAGACACACCCTGGAGTCAACCTCCTGTGATCCCTCCCCCACCGGCTGCACCTGGGGTGGCGCCGGGGCTTGAAGGACATCTGCGGAGTGAGCGGGGTCCCTCCGGCAGGTGGGGGCCCTCAGCCAGGTGGGCGGGGATCAGGCCAAAACCAACTCTCCAATATCCACGGATTCATGCACATTGAAAGGAAATTAATTAGAAGGTGGCTGGTGGGGCAGGACCGGGCGAGATGGGCCGGATACACCCTGGAGCCAACCTCCTGTGGTCCCTCCCCCACCGACTGCACCTGGGGTGGCGCCAGGGCTTGAAGGACGTCTGCGGAGTGAGCGGGGTCCCTCCGGCAGGTGGGGTCCTTCAGCCTGGCCTGCAGGGGTCAGGCCGAAACCGGCAGTCCAACACCCCCTGAGAGGTCCCAGAGTACGAGAGGGCACTCTGCAAAGTTGCTGTCACCCGGCAACTCCTGCATTGAGCATCTGCCCCCTGGTGGTCATTGCACATCATAGCTACCAGTTGGACGGTTGAATGGTCAGACGGTCACTTAAGCTTTTATATATACAGATAACACGGTGCACCTGCATGCTCACTGCTTGGGCAGGAATCGCACCTGTGGGAGCTGCACGCTCAACGGGAGAAAAGGTGCGGGGAGACAGGCAATGAAGAAGGAGGCCTCAAGGCAGGGGTCTCAGCCGCCCGTGCCCCACCAGCACCTACCAGCAGGCACTTGATCGGGAACTCCTTCAGGCCTCTGTTCCTCGGAGAGTCGAAGACGACGGGCAGCGCCTTGTGCGGGGCTTGGGTGTAGCCGATCTCGATTTCATCCTGGGCACAGCGAGCGGAGGGAGGCTGGTCATGTGCTGCCTGGGTGTTAGCACCCAGCGCGAGCAGAGCGGGGAGCACCCTCCACACGTTCCCCCCTTGGTGGCCAAGGACAAGTTCATGCAGGATGCTGGACCCCAGGGGAGGGGCTCTGAGGAAGCAGAGCTATCGTCCTGGGTTTGCACCAATGTGCTGTGAAATTCTGAGTGTCCTTCACCCGCGGGGTCCTGGGGACCCATCCTGAGCGAGCCTCAGGCACTGCCCTGGAGGTGAGAGCCAGGGGGCTGGGGACTCACCACCCCGGGTTAGCAGGTGATAGGAAGGGAGGGAGGGGCCTGTGGGAACACGGAGGAAGGGCTGCGAGGGTGGGACAGGGCAGGGGGAGCATTGCTGAGCCGAGGCCCGGAGGGCAGGCGTAGGAATGGCCTTCTCCCAAAGTGGGACAGGTTAGGGGGAGGATCGGGAATGAATCGGGTGCAAGTCCTGCCTGTGTTCTAGCAGCAGATGCGATACTGGGCAGAAGCCACTTAAGCTGACCCCTATGAAATGCCATTCCTGGAGGTCAAGAATGGAGCCTGTCAGCCATTACACGTGGATCAACCTGCTTTATCACAGAGGGAATGACAGCGAGGAAGAGAGGGTGTTGGGGGGGGGCGGGGCAGGGGGAGAGGAAAGAGGGCTGAATTCCCACGGGGGACTGGGCACATTTACGGAGGGGGAGCTCTCAGGCCGGGAGTGGGCAGGCATGATGTGGACGTGGGGATGAGAACCGGGAGGGTGGTCGGAGAGAAGGAACAGCGTGGGCAGAGGTGTGTGTGTTGGGGGGGCAGGTTATAGGCTTGGACTGGCAGAGCCTCGGGGCAAAGCCAGGGCACAGAAAAGAAGTTTGGTTCAGCCCACCAGCAGCCCACTGGCACTGCCCAATGCCAGGCTGGGGTGCTGAGGTGAAGGAGCCTCGATCTCTGCCCTCAGGGAGCTCAGGGCATGACGGGCATGCCTGCATGGGAACAGAATGCTGACACAGTGTCGCCTGTGTGGTGGCAGACTGGCACCGGGGGCGGGGGCAGCCAGATTGTGAGGGCCCTGGAGGAAGGCTGAGGAGAGGATGGGAGCCATGGAAGGTGCTGGAGCAGGGGTGTGGCCTGGTCTGGTGGCTGAGCCCAGAAGCTTGGACTCATGTCCGGAGGTCGTCTGAGAGTGTTTAGACTAGAAGGTGGCTTTCATTCTGGTGACTTAGATGGGCATGCAGCCGCCCAGTCGATGTCAATCAAATCAGTTGCCCGAGTCCCCTGTGCCAGGACCCCCAGAGGTCCCAACTCCCTGCCCATCTGAGGAAGGGTGGCTGAGCCCCTTGGTGGCCTGGGTCCCCCAGTGACTCTTGGTCTAAGGGTCACTCATTCTACGCCCCCCGTTCTGCTCACCCCATAAGGCCACGCACCTGCATCCACTGGTCCTCCATGCTCTCCTCCAAGGGGTACACAGTCAGCTTGCACCTGGCTTTCTTGGTCAGAGTGGTCAATGACTTCACAAAGTCCTCGTTATCAAATATCCTAGAAAGAACAGAGAAGAAATGCCTTAGTGTTCTGAACCCAGCAGCCAGTGGCCAGGGCCCAGATCTGAGGGGGCAAGCTGTACCCTGAAGGGTCCCTCAGCTGGAGCAAGAGCTCGGGCCTGGCCGGAGGCACACAGTAGGTGCCCAGGAGATGCTGCAGCCTGAAGAGACGCCTGTCTCTCTGCTCTTAGCAGATATCATCCCATTAAACCCCGTGACAGTCCAGGGGAACTAGAGGGTCCTGGCATAGGGGACTCGGATAACTGATTTGATTGCCATTGACTGGGCTGCTGCAGGCCCATCAAAGTCACCAGGATAAAGCCACCTTCCACCAAGCGAGGAGGCCAAGGCTCAAGGTCATGCCATCTAGGGATAGCACTGGGATTTGAACCCAGGCCTCTCTGGCTTCCAGCCGGTGTCCTGGTTACCAGGTTACACTCCCACCTCTTCCTCCCTTGAAGCAATCAGAAGAGGAGAAGGGAGGGGCCCCGAGACCCCAGCATATTTAAGAGGGGCCCCTAGGCTGCGGACTGGACGCTGAGGCTTCCCCGAGCAGCTTGTTAAATGCCCGTGGCCCATCCCCAGTTACAAGACCCAACCGTTCGGAGGTTGGCTGGGAATGAGCATTTTAAAGGAGTCCCAGCGGTTTCTGGGACAGAGGGTCCCAGGGCCACACTCTGAGCAACTCACGGGCCGAGGGCTCTCCTCCTGCAGGTCTAGCAGACTCCCCGGGCCCCCAGGAGCTAAACGCAGCCCTCGGCCTGCACGTGGGCAGGGCAGCCTCCACCCAGACAGCTGCAGTAGCTTCCCTGCCTCTGGGCAGGGCCAGACAAGCCCTGACCCGCAGCCAGTGCGGTGGGGGTTACACTTCCCCCCATTCACACAGCCAGCGCATGGGGGCTTGCAGCCAGAACCCTGGGCTCCTGGACCCTGGCTCCCCCTGGTGGATCTATGCCCCGCCCCAGCACCCCAGAGCCCCTCACCTGCACACATACACCTCCTTCGGGGGCTGAGTGTTGGGGGTCATGATCCAGGGGGCCACACGGAAAGCCACACTGTCTTGGAACACCAGGGTCTTGGGGAGCTCCTGCAGGGAGAGGGGCCGGGGAGGGGTTCTCACAGAAGCCAGGGTCCCCACCTCCCCCCTCCCCTGCTGGGCTACTGCCTGCGCCCAGGGCCCCCTCTGCCTACACTGGGTTGGCCTACCGGGTTGTCCGTGCAGAACAGGGAGATGGTGAGGAAAATGAGGCCAGGGAAGTTGGCGTCTGGGAAAGTGAGGCCCTCCACATAGAAGTCTGTGCTGTGCTGGCCGCCGGGGAGCTCCAGGAGGTGTGAGGGCTGCTGGGGCCCCAGGATCGCCTGGTACCCTGAGGGCTGTTTGCCCCCTAGGAGAGAACAGGGGAGGCTCAGGTCCATGTCGACACCGCATGTCACCCTGAGAGCCCCTCATAGCTAAATCTGGCCAAAGCCTCCCCTTAAGAGAAAGGAACTAAAGCCCCAACTGGGACATAACCCCCCACCCCAGCCTGGGGGTCCAAGAATAGAGTAACGGGAGCGCCTGAGCCACTTCCAACATATACATTATGGTTCATTCATTGTTCGTTCACTCACTCATTCATTCATTCATCATTCCTGAGCACCCGCTCTAAGCTGACACCTGGGGAGACCAAGAAGACCGTCCCTGTCCTGGTCCCCAGGGAGTGCACAGCCGCTGGGTGAGTAGGGAGGAGCAAACACAGTCAGCATCACAGAGGGCAATACGAGCTGTGCTGGAGGGAAGCCCAGAGGAACAGGGAAGGCTACCTGGAGGCGGTGATGCCTTGGCAGAGGCAAGGACTTGGTTTGTCGCCAAACCAATGTCAGTCGAGCCACGTCGGTCTAGAATGTGAATAAAATCGTCATCTCCCGCACAAAACTCTGATAGCACCTCCCAGCTCCCGCAGGCGAGAAGCCAAAGTCACCCCACGCTTACCTGATCCAGCTTGCCCCTCTGCCCCTTCTCCTCCACCCTCACCTACCGCCTACCCCTTGCACACTGCACTCCAGATGCACCTGCGCCCCGGCATCCCTCAGCCCCCGGGCACGCTCCTGCCTCAGGGCCTTTGCACATACAGTTCCCTCAGCCTGGGCTGTCCTTCCCCAGGGTGTGCATGTGGCTGTTCCCATGCCTCCTTCTGCTCAAATGACACCCTATGGGGGACACCTTCCCTGACCTTCCTCTCCCCCACCCCCTGACTCCACTCTCATCCATGTCCCTTTCCCTGTTCCATTCTTCCCCGTCGCATTTAACGCCATCGGGGGCACCGTTTACTTAATTATGTTCCTCATCGTCTCCCCCAGCCCTCTGAGATGGAAGCGGCCCGAGGGCAGGGCCTTCGCTGTGGCATCACATAGCAGCAGGTGCTCGTGAGCTGCTGAGAAGTTGATGACGGATGTTGGAGAGCAAACCATCACCTAACACACGCAGTCAGTGTGGATGCAAGAATCTCCTTAAACAAGAGTCGCGCG